GCTAGTCTGGAACTCACAGAGATCCACCTGCCTCTGCCTCCTGAGTGCTTGGGATCACCGGCGTGTGCCAGTACATCTGGCTAGGCTCACTTTTTTTCTTGTTTTTAAATTCTTTTTTATTTAAATTCTTCATTTACCACTCATATTTACATACTTTGGAGGCTGTCCTGAAACTAGCTCTTGTAGACCAGGCTAGTCTGGAATTCACAGAGATCCACCTGCCTCTGCCTCCTGAGTGCTTGGGATCACGGGCATGTGCCAGTACATCTGGCTAGGGTCACTTTTTTTCTTGTTTTTAAATTCTTTTTTATTTAAATTCTTTATTTACCACTCATATTGCATTCCCCTCCATTCCCTCTCCCTCCCATCCTCCCATATTCCCCACCAACACCCCCCCAACCCATTCCCAAACTCCTCCCCAGGGATAGTGAGGCCCTCCACAAGGGACCTTCATAGTCTGTCATATCGTTTGGGGGAGGGTCTAAGCCCTCCTCACCTTACTTCTTGAGACAAGGTCTCTCATTGAACCTGGAGCACAGATTGCTGACTCACAAGAGCCCCAGAGGCAGATGGCTGCCTCACCCCATGCTGGGATACAGACACACACCTATGTATCTTGCTTCTTATGTGCGTGCTGAGGATCAGGTCATGCTTGCACAGCAGCCATTTCACTGAAAGAGCCATCTCCTCAGCCCTGTTGACTGACTTTTTTTTTTTTTTTTTAAATACCACAAAACATTGTTTGATGGGGCTGAGGAGATGGCACAACCATTAAGAGTGTGTTCTGCCTTGAATGTGCGTGGTCCTGGTTCTCAAAAACAACAAGAATTAATGCACACGGTGTTCCACATTGTGACGCTATGGGATTTCTAGCTGGTTCTATCATCTCTAGTCTGTAGATAAGAAAATGGACGTCCAGAGAGGTTAAGACAGTTGCTTAGAGTTGCACAGCCACTCAGGGCCAGAACAAGGATAGCTGGGGCCTTGTATCCAGACCCAAGCACTTCAGCAAATACCTCCGAAGAACCACCAGCGTCGGGGCCCCTAGCAAGTCGGAGCACCGCACCTCTGAGTCACTCAGTGAGCAGGAGTGGAATGTTATCAAACATCAGGACAGGAACTGGAATTTCCCAGAACTCCTCGTTGACATCTATTTTGCTGAGTAATAGCTACATTTGGGGTGATTTTTAAAGACTAGGGAAGAGAAGAACACCTGCGAATGGTTCTGCTTCAGCCGGGGGTGGGGGTTGGGGTGTTTGTTACTTGGCCGGCTCCTGTGGGGCCAGTTCTCAGCCTCTGCTGCTTTGGGGTAGAACTACAAGGGACTTGCGAGCTTCCCTGCAGAGTCCTAACCGTGCCTGCTCTGCCATCTAGTGGCTAAGTGTCGAAAGTGCACCGCCTTTTCTGACCCAGTGCGGAAGGCGATGCCTTGTGACCTTTTGCTGAACCACGAAAATATTAATAGTGGCACTTTTCAGGTTAGAGGCCAGATTCGCCAGACGTGAGTTCTTTTGGGTTGGATTTTTGTGAGAATTCCGTGGAGTTTGGCAAGGTCTCAG